GAAACAAGGAAGTGAATTACACCGAGTAACTCTACCAAGGTGTAAGAATACATACGAGAGCTCGAATTTTGCTCCAGAGTCCAGGATTCTTAACCACTAAGCTCTACACTCTTTCAGAAAAGAGTGAATTCCTGGGATGCCTGGGTGGCTCAGTCAGCTAAACGTCGGACTCTTGGTTTTGGCTCAGTGAGATCGATCCCCACGTTGAGCTCTGCAATGACAGGGTGGAGACTGCCTGGGAATCTCTCTACCTTTGCCCCTCCCCTGGTCGTGCTCTCTCTCTCAAAATTAACTTTAAAAAAGAATAAAAGGAGTGAATTCTCACAATTCTAAATAGGAGCATCACATCATTCAACAGAGAACTAAATATTACAAAGCACTCAGGCCACCTACATTTACCATGTCATTTTGGGGATACACTCTTACAGATCAGTTCAGCACCAAGAACTGGGAACACACTGAAGGCAGCAGCAAACAATTTAGAAGTGAGGAAAAATTAATTCTGATTGACGAGTCAACACCAACACCAAACAGCACAGTGGAAACAGAAAAGGCTTCCTTTCCCTAGTATACACTTGGATTCCGCTTCCAGTCCCCCAAGTTTCCCATCATTCATAATCATTCCCAAAAGACCTTGCATCTAAAATCTCCGACTGGGCTCCCAGTCTCCCTGTAAGTACTACCCCTCCCTGTATATACTAAGCCCAAGTTTTCAAAAAAACAATCCCTGCTCTTCCCATGATTTTATACAGTTGGAAAAAGAACTGGGAAATTTAAGCCACTGCAATTTATTTTTAGTTGGACTGCTCTGCTAGCAGAAAATCATGAGTATACTTCTAGTGACATTAAAGAAAATGGTTTCAGGGTGCCTGGGTGGCTCAGTTGGTTAAGCATCCAACTTCAGCTCAGGTCATGATCTCATAGCTCAGGAGTTCGAGCCCTGAGTCAGGCTCTGTGCTGACAGCTCAGAGTCTGGAGCCTGCTTCAGATTTTGTCTCCATCTCTCTGTCCCTCCCCTGCTTGTGCTCTGTCTCTCTCTCAAAAATAAATACATAAATAAAAAGTTTAAAGAAAATAAGATGGTTCCAAGGCAC